CNNNNCGTGTTTCTTTTTTTTTGTTTTCTTCTTCCCTTCCATTGATGACGCAGACCTCGACCGTCTTCAAGTACATCATCATCGGGGATAGCGGGGTGGGGAAGAGCTGCCTGCTGCTGCAGTTCACCGACCGCCGCTTCGAACCGCTGCACGACCTCACCATCGGGGTGGAGTTCGGCACCCGCCTCGTCAGCCTCCACGGCGGGCCGGCCGTGAAACTCCAAATTTGGGATACCGCCGGGCAGGAGAGCTTCCGGAGCATCACGCGAAGTTATTACCGCGGCGCGAGTGGCGCGTTGCTCGTTTACGACGTCACGAATCGTAGCAGCTTCGCGCATCTCCAAAGCTGGTTGGAGGACGCCCGCGCGAACGCGGCGACCGCGGTGGTGATCATGCTAATCGGGAATAAATGCGATCTGGAAGGGGAGCGGCAGGTGAGTCGGGAGGAGGGTGAGGCCTTCGCGCGGAAGCACGGCCTGCTTTTCACCGAAACCAGCGCGAAGACGGCGCTAAACGTCGACGACGCGTTTTTGAAAACGGCGGCGACGATTTACGAGAACGTGCAGGCGGGGTTGATCGATCAATCGGTCGTCTCCGGGAGGCCCATCGCCTCGTTAACCGCAACGGGAGGAGGGGAGGACCCCCAACATGGCTCCGAACAGGCGAGGTCGGGTTTTAGGGCCTGCTGTTAGCGGAGGGATTTTCTCCTTTTCCTTCGTCCGTGTTGCCAGATCGATGGGCATTCTTTCTTTTTTATTTGTGGATGGCGAGGTGAGATCGGCAGTTTTCGTTATTTATATAGTTTTTGAACTGCCGATGGTAGAAGGGAAAGGATTCAATAGAAAAGATGGCCGGCATAAATAAAAAGGTCGGGGAGCAGTCTCTGGCAGAAGAGGGAAATATATGCAGACGAGATGGGGAAAAGTGAACTGATCTCAAAAGGGGGGAGCTTTCACGTCGAGGATTACCGCCTGCCTGCAGCCCCTCAACACGCTCTCTCTTATTTTTAGTGCTTATTTTTCCCACGTTCAATGATGATACACCATCCTATATTATACTTTGGTTTGAGGTAGATTATGTATAAACACGTATATTTTCAGTTTGTGAAAGGTGAAGGACACTTTCCTTACATTTCCGTATGCTCGGCTTCTATCTTTTCTTGATATTCTTTTTCGATGATGCATGCATAAAAAGATATATATTTCGTCCCACAGGATTGTGGCGAGAATGCTTGAAGAATGGAATAAGATCGACTTGCTGTTGTTGCTTGACCATTATATAAAAAAACAAAATATATCAACAAAAAAAGAAAAATAAAATTTCAAACAAGGAAAGTGATTGAGTTCACGTGTTCCGTATGATTCTTACCCAAACTCGTTTAAGTTTTGTCTTATTTATCGGATTCGCAATTTGAAACAAATAAAGCTACTTGTTCATTTCTCAGTATTTTTTTTCTAAATCTAAGTCATCGCATACATACACAAAAGGAGGTCTATCTAAGTGAGTAATAAGTGAAGCCAACCACTCAAACGAAAGGTGCAAATGAATCTCATTCCATTGACGTCCTCGAGGGTGGCATGTCGCGTATTCCTTGTGCTTGCTATTGTATCTCTTCTATCACTTTGCCCGGGGCGCGCGGATGATGGCGGGGTTGCGGTTTGGGTGAACCCCGGAAAGAAGGTGTGCTTTTACGAGGATGTGCGCGAGGCCGGCGCGCATGTGTTCCTCCATTACACCGTCAACGATGGTGGGATGTTGGATATCGTGGCGAATGTGCGGGGCCCGGACGGGTCGACTTTGTGGACCTCCGAGAAAGGATCCGGACAGCGCGTGCTCTTCAAATCCCGCAAGGCCGGCGCGCACAAGTTCTGCTTTTCCAATGAAATGAGCACGGTATCGGAGAAGGTGGTGGCGTTTTCGGTGCTGGTTGGGGCGGTGGATACGTTCGGGAGCGGGTCCGGGCAGGAAAAGCCGAAGGATGTGCTGCAGCGAAGGGTCTTCCGCATTCAGCAGAGTTTGCGCGAGATTGAGGAGCTGCAGAGTTTTCTCCGCACGCGGGAGCGGGAGCATCGCGCGACGATCGAGGTGGCCAACACGCGGGTGGTGGTGTGGTCGATAGTGGAGATCTTCATTATTGTCGCGATGGGCGGTACCACGATGTTCTATTTCCGTAAGCTGTTTAGCTCAAAGCGTGTGGTTTGATAGGAAAACACGGAAGTTGGGTAAGGAAGGTCATTTCAGAGGGAGGGGCATGTATAGAGAATTTGTTTCGTCTCCTTGGTTGGTCCTTTTGCAAGATTACAATAAAAATGGTATCGATATATCTGTTTATCTATCTATCTATATTTATATATGCCTAATGAGAGCGGTAAGTATCGTGAATTGAAAGTTGATGTTCGAGGTGACTTTATTATTGTTTATTTTGGTGATGTAGTCGATGCGATAGGTGAGATCCTTGAGGGTTTATTCGCAACACGATGGAAAATGATAATATTGCTGTTGGTTTACTAAACTCTTTAGAAGCGGCGAGTGACGAATAGTAAGTAATTTACGGAGGCTTGATGACAATGGAGGTTTGGTTTATGATCCGAAAAATAAAATTCCATTAAGGTTCTCAAATGTTTCAAAATGCTGAGATCTTATGTTGCATTGATATTTATCGTTATTTTTCTCTCACAAGTTTAGAAAAAGCAGCAGCAATCCAAGGTAGTCTTGTGAATTTTTCCATTCCGGCTTACCTTCCCATAATCTCACCTTATTAGGCTTTTCCCGCGTTTTTCTCGTGGTGAAGTGGATATTCGTAGAATTCAATATAAATATATATATATACATATATATACATATATATCTATTTATCTATATATATTTATGCCTCACCGACCGTTAACAGGGAATTGGTTTGAGGAGGAGGCGTATGAGCGGGATCGGGCGCGGCTCATCCAGGGCCGTCATGGCAACCTCATCGACGCGCGCAGCGAGGTCGCCCGGATTGCCGCGAAGATGGCGCATCACAACACGCCCACGGAGATCGCCAAGATCGCCGCGGATGGGTTTTTGCGTTTTTATCGCCCGTTGATGTTGCAAAACGCGTGCACGTTGGGATACCTTAGCATCGACCTTGACGACCGCGCGGAGACGACGACGGGGTGGCGAGTGAGCTGCTCCACCGCCCCCGCAAGCGAGGCGACGCGGCGAAGTGCGTTTGTGTTGATCCCCGCCGCGACCCCCCTCGTCGGGAGCTTTCCCATCCCCCCTGGGGAGGAGGAGGTCGTGCATTACGGGCAGCCTTTTTACCTCACCACCGTTCCCACGCTCTGCGAGGAGCCACTTTCGCTCGCGTCGGAGTTCGCGACAAACGGATCCGCCTCGAAGGTGTCGGGGAAGCATCAGGCGGTGTACTTCTCTCCCGATGGTGGGAGCGCGGGCTGCATGTGGTACGCCGTGCACGCGGATCCCGATTACGTCGAGGATGCACGGGATCTCCCCGTGCGTGCCGGGGATGTCATCATGATCCAACACAACATGACGAACGCCCCGCTCGCGAGCACGAAGGCGGTCTTTTATAATGATTTCGGCACCCAAAATGAGGTCTGCGCGGGGCGTATCTTGCGGTACGCCTCGAAGCGAGGCGCCGGGCCGATAGAGGATGAAAATTTCTGGATGTTCATCCACCGCGGGCAGGGGGCGCCAGATGGGGAGGCGATACCGGCACCCACCCACGTGGAAAATGAGAATACCACCCCCTCATCAGTCATCAATAATGCTAATATCACCGCCACTACCACGACTACTAGATCTCAAGGGAAGGCAGACCGTAAAATTACGTGGGAAGGATTGGAAAGCGAGATGAAGTAAGAATTCTGTTCGGATTCTCTGGCGCTTAGCATCCAACAAGTAATAATAGTGGCAGAAAAACCAACGCATAGGCGACGCAAATGTATGTATTGTATATGTTATTGCGTTTTTTTTTTTCGCACCTCATCATCTCCTTTGGGCTGGCTTTCTTGATTGCGATCTGGAGTAGCGTGAGCTACATGTCAATATAGAGCGTGAAGATGAAAGATAAAAGGGCAGGTTTAAAAATATTACCTTTTGTAATTTCTGTATACTTAAATAGTCTCTAAACTTTCTATTTTCCCTTCTTTTTTATTTCCTTTAATTTTTAAATATCAGTGACTTAAATTTATACCATAGACATATATCGTTCGTTTTTCTTGTTTCAGATTACACAGCAGGCTATACCAATCCTAAAACTTCAAGTAAATTAAATTGGGACGCATAGTGGTGATGCATCCTTTGCAGGTTTATCTGCTGCTGGTTTGTGTGGCTTTCCTTTGCGTTCTTCCGCAAATCGGCCAGTCCATGGAAACGCAGCACGGTGAGAAGTGGAAGCATTTGGATTGCTCAGCGTGCTTAGTGGTGGCGCGGGTGCTGGAAACGCGCATGAATAGTTCTCTGGAGTTCGGTCCAACGACCTATCTCGTTGCCAGCCGCATGGAGGAGGGCTCGAAAAGCAACAATCGCCGACTAGATTTCCGTACAAGCGAGGCGCGCGCAATCGAGGTGTTGGAGTATTTTTGTGACGCAGGTTTTTACCACGATTACCCTCTGCGCTTGAATTCCAAAACGAAAGTTCGCGGTTACCACCTCCGCACCCATGGCGATATGCGCAACGCAAACTACACGGAGCTGAATGAGGATCACTTCTTTCCCCCCGATCTCGATCGCGCGGAGCTGGATAAAATGCACTCCGAGGGTAAGCTGCCCTTAGCGCGCCTCTACACCGCAGGCGAGATTCGCGAACTGAGCGTGCTCACGACGAGCGCGCCGGAGCAGTTCTGCGTGCGGTTAATGGCCGAGCACGAGGAGTTGCTCGAGGAGATTATCAAGTATGCTAATAGCTTGAGTGAACTCGAAGCGCATCTCTGCGGATTTCGGTGGCAGGAGATGGCCGATTCAGCTGCAGAGAGCTCCTCTTCTGACTCGAAAGACCTTTTCAAGGTATTAGGCAGGCCGTTAACGAGGGTGTGTGAGGATGCCGCTGCCTTGCAAGCCTCCGCGACGTTGGATCAGCAACGTTGGGAGGCGTGGGAGAACCGCAGCCAGGGCCGCGATAGCATGGCGAAAGTTGCCAAGGAGGTGGAGCTAAACCGAGCTCCCAGGCATGCGATGCCGAATAATTCACATAATGTACATAGTGAGAAATCTAACAATAACAATTCCGTAAAAGTCTCGAAGGCGGAGAACGAGATATCTGATGTAAATAGTGATACTAAAGATCTTTAAGGAGCATGGAAATTAGGTTCTAATTGTGATTATTTTTCGTCTCATTGTCGGTTTAGCGATCTAATTTAGGATTCAAGTTTTCTTTTTCCCCTGAAAAGGAAACTAGTAATTTTCTCTTGTCTGTATGATCTTAAACCACAATCAGTCATGTTTTTTTCAATGATAACTTTATCCGTTCTCTAATTAAAGATATACAAGAAAAAAATAAAAAGAACAAAACCTGAAAATACATTAAAGAAAAAAGGATCATTTCTAAACACCTTTTCACGACCCCTCATTTTCTCATGTCTTCCGCGGGGGGGATTCCACCTGGGGTGAATATGCCCAAGAAGCCCGATCCACGGCTTCGCAAGCTTCAGGCGCCCCAGACCAAGCAGTTCTTTGATTCCGCCGATTACGAGGTTCGACGGCAGCGCGAGGGCGCGCCTCAGATCGTTTCTCAATCTCAATCACAGTCCATGCCAAAGCCCAACTCCCAGCCTCCCCCTCGCCCGTAGTGTCACATGTGTGTGCGTGTGCGGTCCCGTCCTCCACCTCGAGACGCTCGTTTTTCCTTCCTTTTTTTCTCTTCTTTCTTTTCTTCTTTCTCTTCCTCCGTGCTCCTTCCTTAACTTAGGTGAGTTGGAGTTATTGCTGTTGAACCTACACCGTCTTTGTGTCTAGTCGATCGCCATGGGAGGGGGTTTCCTGTAATTCTGTGCCTATAGCATTTTTTTTTTTACTATTGTCTGTGGTCGTTTATGATCATTGTCACCTTTTTTTTCTCACGTCACAGACATGGCGTTGCAGGGGGACTAATTGTGTGTTTTCCATTAGGAGTTTCATACCTTTGGCTATATCTTTCAACCTCCTCCCTATTTTTGTATTGCTTTTTTATAATGTTTGCTGTTTACGATGTAGTCTAGGCATTGCAAGTCTCCACGACCCATTTCTAGGCTTTAATGTTTGTGTTTAGTATGCATTGACGTGCAATTTAGAATCATATAAATTTACTTTTAAAGATGTCACAAACGCTTCTCGTACTTCTGTCAGGTAAGCGACAGAAGGCATAACACGCAGAGGGATATGCGTACGCGCAATTGAGGCGGAACAAAATCTTTATGATGCTCTTTCTCATTATTGTATCTACTTATAGATGTTCCAATAGATATATATAAATGTATATCTTTGAGTTGTACATATTAGAAGTAATATGCGGATATCGATATATCCTTTGTGAATAAATTTTTTTCCTTTTGTGTTCTTCTACCTAACATCATAAAGTACATGCGCTTATGCGGGCAAGAGAATGAGAAAGTGTACTGTTGCATCCTTTCGTTTCATTTATTCGTACGTGTTATTCCTATTGCTATGATTAGGTTATGAGCTTTAATCGTCTTTCACGCTGGAGCTAAAACACTTATAAGTAAATGCGATGTATTTTTGGATTCTTATATTCTTTACAATTAGCTTTATTTTATCGTAATAAACATCGATTGTTTAACAAGGGGCTTAGGCTATTTGTGTGTACTGAAACTACTACTTCATTATTATAGAAGAGTCATCCACGTGTACACACATTACTCGTTTGTAAGCGTTAGGTAAATTTCACACGGATTATATTAGTTGCTGCTATGTCTGGGTCTCGTGCGGACCCTCAAACCGAGGCTGGGATCCCGACCCAAGAAGAAACCGACACTTCTGCGCATGCGATTCTCACCTCTGAGAGAATCGCCGGGGAAATACGTCGGGATGATGCGGTGATGGCGGAGGAACTCCGCATTCTCGCACCGCAGCGGAGAGGAGTTTACCACAGGAAATCCAAAAAATCTTCCTCGCCTGCGGGGATGCGGAACACGGACTCCTCCTCGCCGTCGTTGCTCATGGCCTCTCGTCTGGGAGGAATCGCAGCGCGAAAAAGTAGAAGCGATGTCGCCGCGATTTCATCTGTCAAGGAAAAGGAGTCTACTGAGACGTTCATTGAGCGAAAGCGAGAGATGGGCCTGGTGCGCATATCGCTGGAGTCCAAGAAAGCGGAGATACGCAAGCTTGACGATGCCGCGGACCGGGCTGAAAAACAACTCCGACAGAAGCAAGATCAGCTTGAAAGCATCAAGGAAAAGTTCAATAGCTTTTTGAAGAGTAGCAGCCTTGAGCAGGACGCGGCGATGCGGCGTGTAGACTTTGAGACGAAGGCTAAGTACGAAAAGATGCTAGAGATCAAAAAGCTCACTGCACGTATTGGGCATATTGAGTCCGAAATGCGAAAGATCAATCTACAGCTCGATCGATGCAAGTCGTATAAAGAATTCTTGAATGGGTTGACAAAGCCACAGTGGTTCTACAACGTTCTTGTGGATCTTCGCCTCGGGGATTGCACGCAGGAAATTCTCGAAGAGGCGGAGGCGGAGTACGCCGCCCGAGCGGCGGAGTTAAAAAAAGCCGTTGATGCCGCCACCGTGCAGGAGCATCCGGAAAGACATTTAAGCCACAACCCACCCGATTCTGGGGCGCATGCCGCTGCGAATGCCTCCCCCGCGGATCAGGCGGAATGCTTAAGCATTCAGTTAAACCGCCTCCACACGAGTATTCAACAAAGTGCGCAGAATAAAGTCAAGGAAGTGCAGGCGCAGCTGCAGGCGACCATCCAGGCCATGCCGTTGGAGGAGGTGAAGAACATTCTAGACACCAAGTACCCCGAAAGCCGCATTCCACTACCCTTTCGGGATGTCAACCAGCTTCTCGACGTGTTCATCGACATCGAGGAGGGCAATTTGTTTCTCATTCAAAATTGCCAAGAGCTCGAGGAGGAGCTGGAGGGGGTCACCATATCTTTTGTGAACGAGAAGAATGGCCTGCAGACGATGGTCGACCAGCGTCATAGCCAGATGAGTGTGCTACAGGAAAAGATCACCGCCACGGAGGAGAAGCTGAAGGAACTGGAGGATCGCCTGGTCGCGCTGGACAAACCGAGCACGGTGGTGAATGGGGGGAAACCGACCGACGCCCTCCCCCCCCCCCCCCTACCGCGACGGACCAGCCGCTGAGTCTCATTTTAAACAAAAACGACTCCTCCGCGGCGCAGGTCTACGCGAGCCTGACCCCGGATGAGGTCAAGCGGTATGTGGATCAGATCATCGTGAGCATCTTCCGCGG